AGCAAATAAAACAAACATGCAAACTAAGCTAATACACTACAGAAATTGGCGCCCTTATTACACATCAGAGAACCCACACGGGAGAGAAACCCTATAAATGCTTGGACTGTGGGAAAAGCTTCAGTCAGCGCTCAGGCCTTATTAGCCATGGGAAAATCCATACGGGAGAGGGACCATATAAATGCCTTGAGTGTGGGAAAAGTTGCAGTGCACCATCAGCCCTTATTACACATCAGAGAACCCACACGGGAGAGAAACCCTATAAATGCCTTCAGTGTGAGAAAAGTTTCAGTGCACGATCGGTCCTTATTGTACATCAGAGGACCCACACAGGAGAGAAACCTTATAAATGTTTGGACTGTGAGAAAAGCTTCAGTCAGAGCTCAAATCTTGCTGCCCATCGGAGACTGCACATGGGAGAGAGACCCTGTAAATGATTGGACTGTGGGAAAAATTTCAGTGGACCATCAGCCCTTATTTCACATCAGAGAACCCACACAGGAGAGAAACCCATATAAATGCCTCCACTGTGGGAAAAGTTTTATTTGAAAATCAAACCTTGCTTCATATCAGACAATCCACACGAGAGAGAACCCATAAATGTTTGGATTGTGGGAAAAGCTTCAATAAGTGCAGGAAAAGATTCAATCTGAGCTCACACATTATTCCCCATCGCATAATTCACAGAAGAAAGAGCTTGAATGTGGGGGAAGCTTTATTTGGTGCTCACACGGCATCAAGAATCAGCAAATCCACACAGGGAAGAGTCCTCTCAGATGTCCTTAGCATGGAAAAAGCTTCAGTTGGATCTAACACCACATTGGACATCCTCCACACAGGAGAGAAATTCTCTCAGTGCCGTGACTAGGGCTCGCCTTAGTAAAAACTCCATTTCCTAATTCCCACACACATCAGAGGCATTTGGCTCCCAGGTATCCATCTACCCATCTTTGGGGGCAGCTTTCAGCAGCTGCTGACCCTGAGCTGATCAGTGATACTCTGGCTTGCCTGGTCTAAGCTAACCGCAGGCGGAGGAGGAGAAGTTCAAATCAGCCCCATGATGGGTTGCCCCCCGATGCCACCTGATGTACTGGGGTTCCACTGAGCCCGCCTGTTCCACCAGCCAGGGTCCCCTCACCGTGTCCTGCCAAGCCAGGCTTTCCAGCCTTCACTGGGAAACACACAGGTAGGGCCACATCCTGCTGCAGAAAAACCCAGACACTGAGATTAAGTCTGCACGGGAAGATCCAGCTTGGGAAGTGCCCAGCACTTGTGTGCACACCACCGTAGGTTTGCATTGTCTTGTGCTGTACAGCAAACTGTGCAATGTAAGCTCATTGATCACCCCCTACCTCGATGTGGAGGAAGATATGCACAGATTCTTGCCTCCCCAGTTACGGATTCCACAAACTGGTAAACAAAATGAGTTTATTAACTGTAAGGATAGATTTTTAAGTGATAATAAGGGATAGCAAACAGATCAAAGCAGATTACTGAGCAAATAAAACAAACATGCAAACTAAGCTAATACACTACAGAAATTGGCTACGGATAATAATTTCCTCACCCTAATGTTGCTTCAAGCATCTTATTTGCAGGCCAGAGCCCTTCCAGCCTGGGTCCAGTCCTTTCTCCCTGAGCCTAGTTTCAGGTGTTCACAGCAGTTATCGGGCAGGGATCTCCTCCTGAGAAGCAGGGACGGACTGACTTTGATTACCTCACTCCCCAGCCATAAATAGGATTTACATAAGGTGGGAAAACTTTGTTTTCCAGTCCTATCCCCTCCCCCTTTTTGTGGAAAAATACAAGCAGCCCAAGATGGGGTTTAGTCCCAGGTGACATGACCACATGACCCTTCAGTGTTAAAGCAGACTTGAACCAAAGTTATCCCAGGAAACTTCTCAGGAAGGTGAGAGATTAGCACTTTCAAAGTTCTGTTGTTCCCCCTATGGCCCATTGATTAGCCAGCCAGGCTGATTGCATTTTGTTTGATAGACTTTTCCCAGGTGCAAACACATAGTCAATATTCCTAACTTCAAATACACAAATGATGCATGCATACAAATTGGATAAGCATAATCAGTACATCATAACCTTTCCAATGATACCTTACAAAGAATCATAGAATATCAGGGTTGGAAGGGACCTCAGGAGGTCATCTAGTCCAACCCCCTGCTCAAAGCAGGACCGATCGCCAACTAAATCATCCCAGCCAGGGCTTTGTCAAGCCTGACCTTAAAAATCTCTAAGGAAGGAGATTCCACCACTTCCCTAGATAACCCATTCCAGTGCTTCACCATCCTCCTAGTGAAAAAGTTTTTCCTAATATCCAACCTAAACCTCCCCCACTGCAACTTGAGACAATTACTCCTTTGTCTGTCATCTGCTACCACTGAGAGCAGTCTAGATCTATCCTCTTTGGAATCCCCTTTCAGCTGGTTGAAAGCAGCTATCAAATCCCCAGGACAGTGATAGTGACGATGAAATGCTATCAAAATTAAGAACTCAATAATAGTAGGGGATTTCAATTATCCCCATATTCACTGGGAAAATGTCACCTCAGGACGAAATGCAGAGACAAAATTTCTCAATACTTTAAATGACTGCTTCTTGGAGCAACTGGTACGGGAACCCACAAGGGGAGAGGCAACTCTCAATTTAGTCCTGAGTGGAACGCAGAAGCTGGTCCAAGAGGTAACTATAACAGGACCACTTGGAAATAGTGACCATAATATCATAACATTTAACATCCCTGTGGAATTCAAAAAGTGGAAAAGTCAAATCCTAGTGAGGTAAATAGTTGAAACAATAGTAAAGAATAAAATTGTCAGACAAATAAATTGTTGGGCAAAAGTCAACAAGTTTCTGTAAAGGGAAATCGTGTCTTACTAATCTATTAGAGTTCTTTGAAGGGGTCAACAAACGTGGACAAGGGGGATCCAGTGGACATAAGTGTACTTAGATTTCCAGAAAGCCTTTGACAAGGTCCCTCACCAAAGGCTCTTATGTAAATTAAGTTGTCATGGGATAAGAGGGAAGGTCCTTTCATGGATTGAGAACTGGTTAAAAGACAGGGAACAAAGGATAGGAATAAATGGTAAATTCTCAGAATGGAGAGGGTAACAAGTGGTGTCCCCCCAAGGGTCAGTCCTAGGACCAATCCTATTCAACTTATTCATAAATGATCTGGAGAAAGGGGTAAAAAGTGAGGTGGCAAAGTTTGCAGATGATACTAAACTGTTCAAGATAGTTAAGACCAAAGCAGACGGTGAAGAACTTCAAAAAGATCTCACAAAACTAAGTGATTGGGCAACAAAATGGCAAATGAAATTTAATGTGGATAAATGTAAAGTAATGCACATTGGAAGAAATAACCCCAACTATACATACAATATGATGGGGGCTAATTTAGCTACAACGAATCAGGAAAAAGATCTTGGAGTCATTGTGGATAGTTCTCTGAACACGTCCACGCAGCGGCGGTCAAAAAAGCAAACAGGATGTTAGGAATCATTAAAAAGGGATAGAAAATAAGACGGAGAGTATCTTATTGCCCTTATATAAATCCATGGTATGCCCACATCTTGAATACTGCGTACAGATGTGGTCTCCTCATCTCAAAAAAGATATACTGGCATTAGAAAAGGTTCAGAGAAGGGCAACTAAAATGATTAGGGGTTTGGAATGAGTCCTATATGAGGAGAGATTAAAGAGGCTAGGACTTTTCAGCATGGAAAAGTGGAGACTAAGGGGGGATATGATAGAGGTATATAAAATCATGAGTGATGTAGAGAAAGTAAATAAGGAAAAGTTATTTACTTGTTCCCATAATACAAGAACTAGGGGCCACCAAATGAAATTAATGGGCAGCAGGTTTAAAACAAATAAAAGGAAGTTCTTCTTCACACAAGGTATAGTCAACTTGTGGAACTCCTTGCCTGAGGAGGTTGTGAAGGCTAGGACTATAACAGCATTTAAAAGAGAACTGGATAAATTCATGGAGGTTAAGTCCGTTAATAGATATTAGCCAGGATGGGTAAGGAAGAGTGTCCCTAGCCTCTGTTTGTCAGAGGGTGGAGGTGGATGGCAGGAGAGAGATCACTTGATCATTGCCAGTTGGGTTCACTCCCTCTGGGACACCTGGCGTTGGCCACTGTTGGTAGACAGGATACTGGGCTAGATGGACCTTTGGTCTGACCCAGTACAGCCGTTCTTATGTTCCTCCTCATTCTCCTCTTCTGCAGACTAAATAATCCCAGTTTCCTCAGCCTCTCATAAATCATGTGCTCCAGCCCCCTGATCATTTTTGTTTCCCTCCGCTGGACTCTTTCCAATTTTTCCACATCCTTCTTGTAGTGTGGGGCCCAAAACTGGACACAGTACTCCAGAGGAGGCCTTAATAATGCCAAATAGAGGGGAACAATCACGTCCCTCGATCTGCTGACAGTGCTCCTACTTATACAGCCCAAAATGCCGTTAGCCTTCTTGGCAACAAGGGCACACTGTCGACGGATATCCAGCTTCTCGTCCACTGTAACCCCTATGTCCTTTTCTGCAGAACTGCTGCCTAGCCACTCGGTCCCTAGTCTGTAGCAGTGCATGGGATTCGTCCATCCTAAGTGCAGGACTTGTCCTTGTTGAACCTCATCGGATTTCTTTTGGCCCAATCCTCTAATTTGTCTAGGTCCCTCTGTATCCGATCCCTACCCTCCAGTGTATCTACCACTCCTCCCAATTTAGTGTCATGATCCATCTTGCTTAAACATATTTTAGTTATGCCATATTCATATAATAACAGTATCTTTATGAAGATCATTGGGGTGTACTGCCGCAAGCCCCTTCTCCCTGCTACAGCCCTGGCTGCTGAACGGATGGGTCTTCCTGCCTCCTGCTAACCTGCTGGAGGAAGAAAGAGAGAAACTTCTCCAGAAGCTCCCTCTGCCTGGATGAATTCCCATCCTCTCCCTTCCCTTCCCAGA